CAAAGCAGCAATGTCCTCTGCATGACTCTGGAGTAATCTCTCCAACTCCTGTTCATGAGCTTGTTGAGCGCCTTTTTGGCTTTCGATATTGGACGAAGCAGCAGCCAATTTGGCTTCATGCTCAGCTCTCAAAGCGGCGACTTCTTCATCATGAGCCGACTGAGCCCTTGCATGTTGAGCCTTCAATGCGGCGATATCTGCGGCATGCTTCTCAATCAACTTCTCCAATTCCTCATCGTGGGCCTTTTGTGCAACATTTTGACTCTCAACGTCTGACGAAGAGGCAGCGAGATTAACTTCGTGTTCTGCCTTCAAGGCGGAAATAGCTTCATCGTGGGTTGATTGAATAGAAGCATGCTGAGACTTCAAGGCTGCGATATCTTCAGCGTGGTTAGAAGTCAATTTCTCCAACTCCTGTTGGTGTGCGGCTTGAGCAGCAGAAGTTGCTTGAGTGTGTACGTCATCTAATGCCTTTGCATGAGTTCTCTCAAACTCAGACTTCAAATCTGCGATGGCAACTGCATGGCTATGTTCGAGCTGTTGCAATTCTGAGGAGTGAGAAGAATGACTAGCAGAAATAGCTCTGTCATGTGCCTCATCCAATGCCTTGGCATGGTTTGTCTTCAGCTCGTCTAATGCACGTTGATGAGCCTTTTCATTATTATCGAGCTCAACAATAGCTGCAGCGTGATTTTGTTTTGCCTTCTCGAGTTCTTGTTGATGAGCCTCCAAAATCTCAGTATGTGCCTTGGTGAGTTCCTCATGCTTGGTCTTCAATGCATTAAACTCGTCTCTGATGCCAGAGTCTCCTGATAATGCATCAATCTCCTTTTGATAATCATTCGAAATGGTTTCCAGTTCTTTCAAGTGCTTCTCATTAAGCGTCGAAGTTTCCAATGCGTGCTTCTCCAAAAGTTCGGAAATCTCCTTGGTTTTCTCATCTAATGACTGAACTGTTGTTGCAAGCTCTTCCTTGATTTTGATGTGTAATTCATCCTTGCTCTTTTCATCAGAACTATATTGTTCCAAGGTGTTTTGAAGCGCAACTACTTCCTGCTTGGACTTTTCTAATTCTTCTCTAGCTGCAGTGAGCGCGGATTCAGACTCATTTCCGGTAGATTGCAAGCCATTGAGTTTTGCAGTCAATTCGACAACTTGCTCTTGTGCAGAGGCAAGGTCCTTTCTGGCAGCCTCGGCCTCAGCCTTAGCTTCCGAAATTTCCTTTTCTGATAATGCCAATGCTACGGAGCTCTTTTCGAGACTTTCCTTGAGACTTGTGACCTCACTTTCCAGACTTAAAACCTTCTCGGCATGAGCAGATTCCAAAGATCTTTGAGACTCGAGAACTTCATCAAGTTGTTTTTGAACAGCAGCTAAGCTCTCTTCGTGTTTCGTAGTCAATTCGGCAATCTGAGATTCGTAAGTGGAGGAAGCATTAGTGTTGCCCTTCGCGAGCTCCTCCGAATGAGCGGACTTCAATGCATCAAGAGCAATATTGTGCTCTTCGGTCAAAGTCTTCTTTAATTCTTCCAAGGCGCTTGCATGCTCGCCAGCTTGGGATTCAAGCTGTCTTTGGATGGCGGATAGATTCTCTTCATGCTTAGTGGTCAACTCAGAAATTTGTGATTCATAAGTTGAGGAAGCATCAGTATTTCCTCTTGAAAGTTCTTCCAAATGGGCAGACTTCAATGCCTCCATAGCAGCAGTGTGCTCCTCCGCCAAGGTTTTCTTCAACTCTTCCAGAGAGTCTGCATGCTTACTAGCCTTGGACTCGAAGTCTAATTCTAAAGCCTTGACTTTCTCATCATGCTCGGCCTGTAAAGCTTTCAATGATTCAGTTGCAACTGCACATTCTGCAATAGCCTGCTCGAGCTGAACTTTCAAATCTGTAATTTCAGCGTCTTTCTCGGCAGCTGCAGCGATAGCACCGGCATTTGCTTCTCTAGCGGCAGCTAATTCGGCATTGACTGCATTTAAAGCATTTGCGTGCTCGTTAACATGTGTTTCTTTGGCAGCCGCTAACTCAGCGTTTAATGCCTCCAAGGCAGCACTGTGTTCAGCCTTTAACTTTTCTAAAGCTTCCACATGCTCAGTGGCACCTCTAGAAGACGCAGCTTCCTTTGCCTCTTCAAGAGCCGCTAAAGAAGCTTCCTGAGCTGCTGCCTTGGCATTCTCGGCTTCTACTAATTGGGCCTGCAAGCTTTCTAAGACGGCCTTGTGATCGGCATTGAGCTTCTCAACAAGTTCGTTGTGAGTTGCGCGAATGGTTTCCTCAGCATCCGAAATGCGTTTCGACTCTTCTTCAGCTGCTTTGCCAAGATCAAGAAGTCTTTCTTGTGATGTGGTGATTTCCTTCTTCAATTCTTCGACCTTGGTTTCACTCTCTACCAATTTTGTCTTCAACTCATCGACTTCTTTTGTGGATGCGGCCGCAGTCGCAGTCGCCGTCGCAGATGGTGTTCCACTAACAGAGCGAGTGGATGACAATACTGATGGCTTTGGTGCTGAGTGGGTAGATGTACCACTTTGAAGAGCATTGAGACGCTTTCTAGCTTCCGAAACTGCACCACCGCTGCTAAGAGCGCTGATTGAAGGCTTGGAAGAGTGTGTTGGGCGAGTGGTAGTAGTACTATTGACTTGTTAGTACTGGATACGACCATATTCTCAAAATAAAACTATAATAGGACTTACGTAGAAGCACTCGCTGGCTTTGGGGCGGTTGTACTAGCAGTCTTCACAGTCTTTGGACTGGTTTGACCAGCTGCTGTCGCCGACGCAACAGGTTTTCTTGCGGTTGGTGCTGCTGTGGTTGTGGTAGTAGTAGCGTGCATAGAGACAGGTCTGGCCCGGGCTTCAGCCGCTGTACCAGGCGTCTTCGAAGTATTGGTATGGCTTGGTGCAAGAGAAACTCGTCGTGCAGAAGTAGTGGCAGGTTTTTTCTCGTCTGCATGAGTCCCAGCAGCAGATGGAGCTCTATGGCTGGCACTGGAAGATGTAGCTCCTGTCGCACCACCTGTAGGCTTTCGCACAATGGATCCAGGTGCTGGGCGCGTTGGGGGTTTGCTCAAGCCTCCTGTAGTTTTGGTTGCGGATGAAGATGTGGGTTTGATCCCAGAAGAGGCCGCGGGTCTTGTTGCGCTTCCTGAGATTGGACGTCTTGGTGCCGCAGATGAGCCAGCTCTTTTGGGAAGTACATTTTCCTTCTTCACACCACTTATAGCTCCCGCTGCGGTCTTGCCTGCATCGTTGCTCTTGACAGATTCCTTCTCTGTCTCAGTATCTACTTCCGATCCTGCTCCGGTAGTTTCCTCTGGTACAGCATCTGCGGTGCTCTCGACGGGAGCTTCAACCGGGGTGATAGGAGTGACAGGAGTATCATCTAATGTATCCAGAGGTGATTCTTCTGACTTGAAAGTCTCTTGGGGAATAACTGGGCTCTCAACGTCCGCCATATTAACAATAATCGGGGAAGAAGGAGATTGTATAACGAAGGACTAATATTTGCGACTATAGTTGTAAAAACCAAAATCAGTCAGCGATATTCATTTATGATTCATCAATAACCATTTCCCCAACTCAATTTTCCTAGCCTCACATGTGCATATGTTCTCCACCAAACAGCGCGCCATGTAACATATCATTGATCAATGTAAAGACCCAAATCTCACTTGGTAGCGCAAAAGGTTGAATCTGCCAAACAGATAGATACACCAAGAACCTCAATGTGACTCGAGACTTACGACGTGTTCAATCGCAGCGCAATACGGAGCACAGCTATCCTGCAATGGTGTTCTCCAATTGCGCCAACTCCAATGCTCCAATGGATGAATGCGCGATTTGGGCTTCTATTCGGGATGGGATTGGCTATCAAAAATAACTGACCTGGATCTTTATCTTTCCCTATCTCTGTCACTCTCTCCCAATTCCTCTTGGGTATCTCAAACAATTAATAGATTGATTATGAAGTTTGAGTAAAGGAAAGTAAGTATCAGAAAGATGATGTGCAATGCTAAAATAAGAACTGATCAATGCAAGTTGGTGAGGATTCGGGGACCAGAGAGAGAAATTGAAGGCATTGAGCTTGTTGACTTCTAGAAGAGAGCAGTTAATAAATTTTAGAGGGGACTTGCCCCTGCGGCCGATTTACATGGACCCACCATATTTAATCACGTATCTAACGAAATTAACCCGTATTGGACAGACAGCGTTATGAAAAGAAAAGAGTGACTTATACTTATTATTATTGACTTATGGGAATTCACTGAGTAGATATGAGAATTTATTTGATCGTCATTGTAAAGGAAAAGGAAATCAAAGACATATAAGTACATTTCTGACATGTGTTAGGTTTGATAACCGTATCGCTTGTTGCTAAAGAACCAGATCAACGCCAACCGTTTGAGATCAAGTCGTGAAACATTATTGCCATCGAGTCATCTGCATTGTCGCTTTTACATATGTCACCGCAAAAAGAAAAACATTCAAATGGAAAAAATACTCAGTAGATAGGGGGTGTCTTGGAAAGCCTCATATCAAAGCTTTTTTGTCTTCACCGACATCAGGTTGGATATCATTGGCAGAGTGCTTTGAGCCCCTGAGAGATTGAGCAAAATAATAATTTGTATTTACAGATAAGTTCCCCTTTTCCCATATGTTTTTGTTCGGTACCAGAAAACTGCTTCGGACGTCGAAGTCACACTAGCTTTTCGCACCTAAAAATATATATGCCAGTATGTATCCCGTTCATTGGTTCCATTGTAGCTCCACGTCTTGCAAGCTCCATCAAATGCGAAGCCCCTTCAAAAATACTGTTTGATAAATAGCGATATTTGTTACCCATTCCTTCCATATGTTAGCTTGCCCCATACTATTCGTAAAGTCGTAAATTGAAAAGTCATAATGGCCCTTCGATGAGAATTAATGATTTTGTCGTTAGAGATGACCGAAAAGGTTCCTTTGAGTCGGTGAAGATGTCGAAGAGTCACACATATCATCCGATTCTATTTTATCTCGCTTGATAGGATTCCATTGCTTGAATTAATATCATTGTGCAATGTACCAGAAGTCTTGAAGATGATTTGTGTGTCCTCTTGTAGTACTTTGTCTCGTGCCAGTTGTGTTAACGCTCTTGGCCTTTGAATTCGTGGAATCCAGTGTTCGATTTGGCGCAATTGTATTGTGGTTTCTGCTATTGCCCAACCTATTTCAATTAGCATCGTTTTATATAAATTTGGAACGTAAAAACAAACCTCCAACAAAAAGACCCAGATTGCGTAACAAAGATGGCGGAAGACCATGACTACCAAAGAAGAGAGTGACCGGGGGTAAGAGTATTCGAAGAGCATTATTAACAAATGGTTCACCCATACTCATGATACCGTTCCATGAATTCGCGGCCTCAGCCGCTTTCCCAAGACTTTCTCGAATACCAGTTGCTGTAAAGCTGGCTTGTTCAAGACTGTCCGAGTGATCCTGGATCAAAGTGGTCATATTAACGACGACATTACTCAGTGTATCGAACCTCTGTAAACGTCAGTTCTATCTTGTGTATCATGGGCCAAAACAATCTTACCTGGTCCAAAGTGTCTTGTCTTTCACTCATGGATGTGATCACCGGGATCAAGAGATCCTACACACGATTAGTTATGTCACCTAAATGTTCTGTGTAACTTAACTTACAATCGCGTAAGTCAGTCTCTCGAAGGATGATTCGGCATTTTCTGCCAATGCGTTGATGTTTTCCAATTTTGATTTTGCAGTGCCAGATGTTGCCACAAGAGCCTGTTCTTGTGCAGCGGCCATCTCGGCATTGCTTTGAAGAACAGTATCGACGACATTCTTCATCACTCGTTGAATATCGTCAGTACTGCCAAGTATTGATCGAAGCGCACTAGCAACATCCTACAAACATGGGTTAATTTTGCAGTACGCCATACAGATGAGTAGTGAACTTACCAATGCTTCTGATGAAATGATCCCGAATGCTCCTTCAACCTTAGTCTTGAGTGCCTCAGCCTGCGTCATGACTCCTTCAAAGTAAGAATCTGCTGTTCTGGCATGATCTGCCATGTTTTGCTTGAGATCATGAAGGTCGTTCTCGAGGTCTGCCGTAAATTGACTCATGATCTCCACAAGCTTTTTTTGTAAAAGAATGGATTGATCTGAAAGGATTAGACAGGTTCTTGCGGACTGGCTGGCGACATACCTTTGTCAATATCAGATCGAGCAGCTTGACAGATCAAAAGGCAATTGTCCCGATAACTAGTCCAACTCAACCAGTGAGAAGGATCTTTACCAAGTCCCTTCAAGCAGGCTCCAACCTCATTCTGTGATACTTGTAATTTTCCTTCTGCTTCTTGCGAAGCGCGTAATAAAGATGGAAGTCGGAAAGGCTCGCAAGCATCGGGAACGACCATACTACTACGTTCCATATCACAGATAGCGAGGCTTGCAGCAAGGCTCTCCACATAGTGCCTTTGAACACGTCCACTGTATAAATCGTATTCTTTTTGAGTAATGTCTTCCAAACCTTCACAATTGCTCATTAAAAGCTGTGCAGCTACTCGATGGCAAATCGGTTCTTCCTCTAATCTCTTCAACTCAAGCATCGCACTGGAGTACAATTCATTGTTGCGAGATCGAGTATTTATCAACTCCGACTTAGTGTTCTGGTGTTGATTTCTTCCAATTTGTCGTTGGCCAGGAGTGGAATCGTCGATCACTTTGGACTTCCATCCGAAAGCAGATACTGATACTAACCATATTCCAAGGAGAAGGAGTTTGAGAAGTAGCATCTTGAAACTTTGATCGTGATCTGAGAGACTTTGGGTCTTCAAAGTTATAGGCCAGCAGTAAATTTGAGTCGAGTCTCAGAAGCAAGGTAACGAAGATCAGAAAACGATAGATTGGAGAATTCTCTGAAAGTTTGCACGTCGTCAATCAGGGAAACTGGAGATAATTCAATAAGGAATAGAAAATGGAGATATAATTGTAGAAGCCTTCAGAGAGAGACAGGTCACTGGCGTTGAAAAGGGTTGTTATTGCCAAAGATTTGAAGATAGAAGGTTTGAAGAGAAAGGGTGAAGACAGAAGAGATCGAGAAAACTGAATTAGAAGACGCTATCTTCTTCCTCAGGGCAGAAAGAGGACATGAACAGATCTGGAGAGAGTGAATAATATGAAATTGAAGAGAGGGTGAATTGAGGAGGGGATTTTTCTTCCTTCCTAAAGTGACGTGAAATTGTGATGCATTTGGAGACGTTCGATTACCTCGATACTTTTCATCTTAGGATCTCGAAGTGAATTTCTTGTGCTCGAATTATCTAAAAGTATTACAACTTTTGGAAAAAACTCATCCATTCTATTCAGTTGAATTTGAAAATTTTGCCCATCTTTCATCACCCCAATTCTTTACGCGTTTTCATCTGGTGTTCGAGACTCGAGAACATCACTCAAGTCCACGAGATCACGTGCCACATTAGATACACGCTAACCACATTTAATCCGACCTCAAATTCTATTGACGGCGACCCTAGCAACAAAACAGCAGCAATCCACCCACCATGTTGTCGACCGCTCGATCTAAAGGCATAAGCCAGGTCCTCACATCCACTCCCTCCGTATCAATTCCTTCATTCCTCCTCCCCGCATTCCCAATCGTCTCACGATCCTTTTCCGCATCAATATGTCGAAACTCTCATATTGGAAGCGCAGTATTATCTATTCCTCCAGAAGTAACCTTTAAAGTTATACCGCCGCCTCCGCCGGCGAGAGGCTCTGCGGTCGCTGGAAGACCGGTGGTCAAAATTGAGGGGCCATTGGGAAAAATGTCCATGTCAATCGAGCCATTTATTAAAATCGAACATGATGAGAATACACGGAAAGCAACGGTCAGAGTGGAGGATAGAGAAGTAAAAAACCAAAGAGCGATGTGGGGTAAGCATTTTCCCTCTGTGTGCAATCCATGTTCTGTATAGTATTTTGCTAACAAGTCACCGTAGGAACCACCCGCGCCTACCTCCAAAATCATATACTCGGCGTTTCTGAAGGTCACAGTGCTATTCTCCGCCTTGTCGGTGTTGGATATCGTGCCACAGTCGAACCCGCCTCCAATGTGACAACCAAAACTCCCGAATTCGAAGGCCAACAATTTGTCGTCTTGAAAGTAGGATATTCTCATCCCATTGAATTACCCGTTCCAAGATTCGTGAAAGCGAGTACACCGCAACCTACACGTATATTGTTAGAAGGACCAGAGAAGGAAGTTGTATTGCTCTTTGCGGCGCAAATTAGAAAGTGGAGAGTTCCAGAACCATACAAAGGAAAGGGAATCTTTGTTAATGGGGAAGAGATTAAGTTGAAGAATAAGAAAATTAAGTAGGGGTTGAATATTAAGGTCATTAGTAAGGAGATAATGTTACTTCTAGATCACGTAGTTGTATCTGTGATAATGATGTAGAAGCGTGTAGAAAGTATCATCGCCAAAATTAGATGATGAATAAAAATTATATGTACAATTTATTTCTTGGCTCCCAAAACTTCCTTCACTACTTCTAAAACATGACCGTGAATGGCCGCTGGAGCTGCAACAACACCCTTATTTTCAGCCAAAGTCCTTCCTTTACTGAAATCCAATCTACGTCCAACGGAGTCGGTAACTTGTCCACCTGCCTCTCTCACGATAAGGTCTCCAGCAGCATGGTCCCAGATCTTTTCTTGGTAAGTTGCGCTGACTGGAAGTCTGAGGTAGATATCGCCAGCACCTCTAGCGATTGAACCATATTTCGCTTGGGAATCCATACGGACACTGGCTTTGGTGACACCCAATTTTGTAGCAATAGCATGTTGATCGCCATGAGAAGAGTGACCGGCTTCAACACTCTCACAAAAGGTAGCTTGGGATAAGTCCGTCACTGGCTTCATCTGAATAGATCGGCCGGTGGTTAATGCTCCAGTACCCAATGGTCGACTGGTAGCACCTTGTCCCAATACGGCTGAGAATAAAACACCCTTTCCTTCATCATCTGATGCATCCTTACCAGCATCAGCTGATAATGGAGCGGCATCATCGACTGGAAGGTTGGGACATCCAAGAACACCGACCTTGACATCTCCATCAACCATCAAAGCTAAGCAAACGGCATATTGACCACCTCTCAAAAATCCCTTTGTTCCATCAATAGGATCCAAAGCCCAAATTCTGCCTTTAGCTCCACCAGCACTGTTTCCAGCATCGATCGCATCCAGCATAGCATCCACACTCTCCACTGGACCACCTAAAGCCTTCTCGGCCGCAGGGTCTGAAAGTTTAGAAGCTTCGACCAATTCCCAAATCTGATCTCTCAATTTAGAATTTTCTCTCAAATCGCTGGCTTCCTCTTCTCCCACAACCTCATCATCGGGGAAGTTCTTCTTGATCGCTTGGATAATTAAAGCTTGGGCTCCAAAATCTCCAATTGTAACAGGTGATTTGTCGTCCTTGGATAAAGTTCCTTTTGATTTTTCGTGGAAGACCTTCTTGGTCAAGATAGCTGCTCTTTGCACGGCCAATTGAGCCACTTCCAATTCTTTGCTGTAGTTAGACATTTTGGAAGTTGGAGCTGTAGAAAGTGGTTTGATATGGGTAGGAGAGAAGTGATGAGATATAAGAGTAACCCGGGGCCAAAATTTCCTTGTGACGAAAGCCAGGATGACAATCAGAAAAGCTGTATATAGAAATCTTTTTGGTGAGAAGTAATTGGACGAGGGATTATTGTTATTATTCTTGATTGAAATCTTTGACATGAATGTACCTATTGATTGTACTCGAGTACGAGTAGATACCTATGTACGAGTAAAAGGAAATCTGGAGCGAATCGAGGGGTATTTCAATCTCTTTGTCGTCCCAATTTTCTTGGTGGGGGGGATTTTCGCAATAATTACTAGGTAGGTAGGTACGGCAGTAGTAGCAGTAGTAGCAGTAGTAGCAGTACGTACCAGGTCCTACGCAAGTCAAGCTCGAGGTGCAAGCAATCAAGCAGGAAGTCTGAAGCTACTGCGGGCGGCACGGGCCTTGGGTGTTCCCTATCTTATATACATACATACATACATACATACATACAGATTCATCCCTAGGTACTAGGTAGGTACTCGTAGTTACCTAGGTAAAGCATAAATAAACTTGATTCATTATTGCAGGGGCGTTTGCGACAAAGCTCATCTAGTCATCTAGTCATCTAGTCATCTAGTCATCTAGTCATCTACCTACGTAGTCATCTAGTCTTTTATTACTTTTTCGTAGTGTACAGCAACCAAAAATAACCGCCCTAAATAAATAAAAGAGAACCTTCCCTTCTATCATCATCCATCACATTCCTCTTCAACACATCAATCTGAAATTACGGCACCAAGAGAGTGTCACTCAGTGTCACTATCTCAGCCGCGAGTATGAATACAACCAAAAGAAAATTCAACGCCCTCCTGAATGGCTTGGGAAGCAAAAAGTCGGATTCCTCCCTATCAGCTCTCGAAGTAAACAAAACTCCCGAAAAACCTCAGAATGACACCGATTCCAATATGAAGAAGCCACGAATTTCATACTCTTCTTCTACAAACGCGACACGATTATCTTCATTAACTCGCGCATCATCGGCGGCCCCATCCGAATTTGATAGCGCCCGTCAGAGATTAGCACCCGTTCATAAACTCTCTGCCACTCCCATCTCGCCGGCAGAACCTCCAAAATGGACCCCATATGATCGCGGGGAATTTCTCAAAAGATTAAAGTCTTTCTCGAACCTAACGGATTGGACGCCCAAACCAGCAAAGGTTAATGAAGTCGAATGGGCGAAGAGAGGATGGGTCTGTCAGAAGAAGGAGAGAGTTCGATGTTGTTTCTGCAATGTAGAGATATTGGTTAAATTAAACAAGAAAGAAGAAGATGGGAAAGAGAAGGAAGTATATATCGCGGAAAACATTGGTAGGGGATTTCTTTCACATCGCAGGTTTTCGGTGATGTTGCGCTAACTAATTCAGTAGAAAATGCGTTGGTCGATAAATATGTTGAACTTATTGTCGCGTCTCATGATGAGAGTTGTCCATGGAGACAGAGAGGATGCGATGGTATGTTAAAAAAAAAAAAGGCTCTTTTCACGCGCTCAGTACTGATTCTGGCCTAGATGTTATATTCAAGCTACCCCTCAACAAATCTGCAGTTACTATCCAAACCCTTCGCGAACGTTACGATGAACTCCAACAGAGAATCGATCACCTCCCATACCTCTCTAATATGTCACCTCCTGAAGATCTTGATATCGATCGCGCTACAAGCTATCTTCCCCAAGAATTTCTCCAATCGTCTTCTGCATCAGGGCAGATAAACTCTCCGAACAATATCAATAAAGTGGCCTTAATGATGTCTCTCTGTGGTTGGCAAGGTCACAAGCATGATCGTCTTGGTCAACAACTTGAATCTGTCTCATGTCAAACATGTTACCGAATTCTTGGTCTCTGGATGTTCAAAAGTAGATCTATTTCTGCTACAGGTGTAGAAACCGAGCCAGCTATTGTTCCTGGTCTCGATCCTATCGCCCAACATCGCGAATATTGTCCTTGGCGCAATCCGGTATCACAGAATGGACTTGCCGCTACGCAAAATCAGAAATTAAGAGCGCTTGCGGGATGGGAAGTTGTGTTACGAGTATTGAAGAGTGAGCATGGGTTGAGAGTTGGGAGAGAAAAGAATGAAAAGGGTTCAAGGAAAAGTTATATTGCACCTGGAACGACCGAAAGTATCGATGAAAATGGCAATGATTTAGCACCTGATTTTGCAGATGAAGAGGATGCGAAGAGTATTAGGGATGCAAAGGATAAGGATTTAATGACGAGATTGAGAAGGGTCAAGACATTTATTGCGTTGAAGAAGCGACCCAGTGGAGATGTCAAAACGAAGAGGTTTAGTGCTACTTGATCGCAGGCATAGGAGGTATTTTGCTAAAAGCAAGAAGGGGAGAAGTGAATTAACGATGTACGATCACAAGCAGGAGAGCTTATGGGTATTATTTCTATTGCGTTGGCGTTGTAGTGGAGTTTATTTCCTTCATGCTTGCATCTAGCTCAGGTCAACGGGTGTAAGGGGGTACTGGTATGGCTGTACACGCTCATTTATTGGAAGATTGGCAATCGTCCTCTGTCGGACAGTGCAGCGGTATGGTGTACTTTCATTATTGGAATTTGGGCGGAAGGATTGTAATATATCGGAACGTTTGCTTTGACATTGAGATAGGGTATCGGGGATATGTGCAGTATAATATAATGTTTGCAAGATTGGGCATAGGGTTTCCTCGTTGCTTGCCGTGGTGTCCTAGTGTTTGTGCTGTGTAATTAATGTGTATACTGTGTCTGCTATATATTCTTCACTCTGATTTCGTAATGTGTCTCGCCTCCCTCGTTAAGATTCATTCTTACCCCTATCCTACCCCCCACGCGGAAGAAATCAATGTCGCATACCTACTCCGCGTAAATCACGCCCAACGAAGCCTCTTTCTCTTCACAACTGAAGAATGAAGTTGTTTGATATCAGAATCTATGTCACATTGTTCAATATAGAATGGATCATTACATTCCTTCCTAGATGAACGAATCATGATATCGAGAGATATTCCTCAGTCCATTTTATTTCTGTAGGGACCGGTTAGTTCATAGTCCCACTCACTGGTGGGTTTCTTTTGATAGCCTCATGTATGTATATTATGTATATGCACCTCGAAAACCACTGAGTTTTGATTGTACGTAAGTTTTCGGTTATGTCTTATTTGGAAATATACCCATTGAACAATGCCCAACATACCGACTCCCTTAACACCGAAAATTTTCTGATTTCTAGTACTGAGAAGCGATTTGCTGTCAATCGATCACGGATACTAGACTAAGTCGGGTACCCCATTTTCAGACCATCCCTCTTTTAAACCACCTTAAAAATTTATATTATATGATATTAAAACATTAATTATTTAATAATTGTTTAGTATTATAATAAATACTTGAGAATATATTTTCATTAGTATTATTAATATCTTTTATAATGTAACTTATAGTGAACCGGGTCATATGAAGAACTGGGTCATATTTAGCCCATTATTGACTTCAAACCCTAACAAATTTTGCTATATATACTGAATCACCTCTTATATTTTCTCAAATTGAAAAGAAGATATAGAATACTATTATTATATTTCAATTAAAGGAATTTAAATTAATTAGAAAGACTATAGAATATTTTAAAGTTTCTAAGTCAATTCTTATAGCTAAAATTACTAAAAGGAAATTATATATTCAATTCTACAAAATAACTCAAATTCTTTCAAATATAAAAGAAAATACTCTTGTACAATAAATTTCATAATTTATTATTACTAGATTTTTTATTATACTTATATTGATGAAGAAAATAGCTAACAAAATTCATCTTCAATACATTCAGATTACATCATTTTAAATTCCTATTTTAATAGAAATTCCATTTATAGATTATAAATGGATTTATAAATTTCAAAACGATATTCAAAACTTAAAATATATTATTCATATCAATTAGAATTTAATCAAATTAAAAAGATAACATTGAAGAATATTCAGATTTAATTTGATATATTTTGTATACGTTTTATTAAACGAAAATATGAATTAAATGATATATATAATATAAATGAAATTGGATTTGAAATTGAAAGTACTTAAAGTATATATATTATAATCAATTCTATTCAAAAATCGAATTAAAAAGTTATAATTAGTAAATAAGAATGAATAATTATATTTGAATATATCAATACAATGTTACAACGGATTAGTAACAGGCTGTAGAATCACTGACTTATAGGCTATAATGGTATTATAGGCCTCAGTGATTCAGCTGCAGTATACCGGGGGACACTAGGCACCCAAGGAAAGCCTCAGGCATGTATATAGTATTAGTTATAGAATACACTGAATCATAGGACATGGTTCCTAGGACAGTAGGGTCCTAAGAAGAATAAGCAATACAGGACACAGTAAGCAAGAGAGGTCTTGCTAGGATTAGTAAGCTCCCAAGGGATTAGCCCTAGGACAGGAAATAAGACAGGACGACAAGACTCACGGGACTAGTATCACGTGATGGACCATCCCATCAGTCCCACCGATTATTATCAATGGGATCAGTGGGATCCCACTACGCCCACTACTCTCAGTGAGTGGGATCGATGGGATCGCAGAGTGCAAAGGTCTATATAAGGGAAAGGGTTTCCTTACATGTAGAGCTTCGTGCTCAAGAACAATCATTAGTTTCATTACTATAGTTACGAGAATTGCAACCAGTTACAACCTTATTGAATTCCTACTTGAAGTCTAGTCTAAACCACCTCGAGAGATCTCTAGACACTTCCACGTGACCCTAGAGGCAGCTCCCGTAACAGATTAATATTCTCAAGCTAATATAAAGCAAATCTAAAAAGCTAAATGAATAGAATTCTTTCAAAATATTAGAAAAAAAGTATTAAATTCTTTTAATATTAAAGTTGACTAAAGAGAAACTAATTTAATACTTTTTGCCTTATGAAAAGTACTCAATTTATTATCATTTAATTCCTTCTAATAACTTTTCATTCTATAAATAAGAATCTTCAATTAAAATCTAAATTTATCTATATTTAGGAGCTCTCCTTTAAATAGAACAGAACTAAGGCAAGTAAATTAAACCTTTAATAAAACTTTAGTAAATAATAATTCTTTTATATTACTAATTTGTTAATATATTAAAAGAATAATTAGATTTGTAGAATTTTAAAATATTGAGATAGCCCTATTTTGAAAACAATTTACTAATATTCAAAAGATAATTAAGATTTAAAAGAAAAGAATTAAAAATAAAAGAATCAAATTATAAAATTAATTTATCTTTAATAATAAGGAAGTATTAAAAATGATATATAAAGCGAAAAAAAAACTTAAGGAGAAAAAGCTATAAGGATGATTATGTAAATATTCAATTAAAGAATTAAAAGAAAAGATTAAAAAAGAAAAGTTAGAGAATAGTTTAAGTAATTTAGAATTAGAATTAAATGAATATGTAATTTGTAAAACAAAATCATATAAAAAGAATTGAATTTTGTGACCCAGTTTCCTATATAACCTGGTTCACTATAAGCTATGTTATTAATTTTATAGTTTTTCATTTTAATTTATATCTCCCTAATCTTTTTAATCTTAAAAAACTTCGAATTTAAATTAGTTTTCATTTTATATTTCTTTTTAAAAATAATTTACCTCAATTAATACTCTAATTACTTTATTTAATATTCAGATTATAGAATTTCATAATTCTTAATATCAAATCTCTTAGTAATTTTCCTAAAAAGCTGGTAGTGAATATAAAGATTAGTCTTTTTATTCTAAAGGAATATATATATATATAATCTTAAATTACTAAATTTTTGAAATATTTTAAAAATTAAAATTATAGACTCTTTATTTTATTAATATATAGGATCATGTTACGGGAGCTGCCTCTAGGGTCACGTGGAAGTGTCTAGAGTTCTCTCGAGGTGGTTTAGACTAAACTTCAAGTAGGAATTCAATAAGGTTGGTAACTGGTTGCAATTCTCGTAACTATAGTAATGAAACTAATGATTGTTCTTGAGCACGAAGCTCTACATTGTAATGAAATCTGTTCTCTTATATAGACCTTCCTGCTCTGCAGAACCTACAGTTCTGTCTTGTCTGGATCCTCTGGATCCTATGGATCTAGATGTTTATTCTTCGATCCCCTAGATCCTCTAGGTCCATCACGTGACTTCCTGACCATGTGACGCGGTATATTGGATGCCGTCGTAACAGATCATTATTAAAAAGTAAATTCTAATTTATAACTTTTTATTACTATTTTTAAACAACAATTTGAATATAATAGACTTAATATAAATTAGAGGCTATAAACCTAAAGCTTTTTATTCAATTAGTATATTATACTTTATTAAATTATTTAGTTGTACTTTCTAATAGTATATAAGGAAATTGATTTTTTCAATTATTTTAGAATTCGATAAAGAGGCTAATTTATTAAGGTAGTGTTTATATACTCTTTTAAAAGATAAGAAAGCGAATAAATTAAAAGGTTATAGGATATATAATATATATAATAGAAAGAATAAAAGGTATATATTATACTTAAAACATTTATATATAAATTTAATAGTTTTATAACTTTTATATTTATTTAATATAAGGAGTCTCAACTTATTTAATAAAAGAAGGGCTATTTGAAATATAAAAACCTTTTTAAGCTATTTTAAAATAATATTATTTATAATTTATTCATTATTTATAGTAATGAAATGTTATCTTTTATAAGGTTTCAAATCAACTAGAAACTATTATTATTGTATTGATTTCCTTTTTAATATAATAAAAGAATCAAAAACTTTTCCTATAATTAAAATATATTTTATAAATAATATTCAAGCTTTAAAACCAAACTTCTTTTTCTAAATAAAATAATATTCTAAACTTCCCAGAATTAGTCCATTTAATCCCTAACCTTTTTATATACCTATTTCATCTATATTATAATGATATTAAAACTTAATATAACAAATTAAAAGTAAATCCAATTTTAGAAATTATTAATTAATAATATTGATAATTACATCTTTAATATATATTAAATCGATCTTAACTTATCTTTTAATTTTAATCTTTAAATTCCTTTAAAAAAAGTTCTATATCTATTATTTTCTAAATATAAAATCACTTCCTTTAATATTGAAAAGATATTCCTTAATTTTATAAATTTATGATTAATATATAAAACTAATACTTAAAGACTCTTAAACTAATATCTAATTTGTTAATCATTTCTTTTATATTAAGGCTATCTTTTATATATATTATATATCTTTATTATAAAATAGATAATCATTTATACAGTTTTGAAAAATAATCTTTAAAATCCTATAATCTAAAGCAATTTATTAAATTAAATATTTATTCATTATTACATATAAAACCAAATTAATATCAACTTCAATATATATCTTAAATATAATATAAATAATAATATATTAAACTTTTAAATCAATTGATTTAAGAGTTGTAAAGTTATTAAAGATTTAAAATGGGAGGTTGTTTTCTACAGTGAGCTTTTTTGAGATGGCCTAAAAGAGGAGTAGCCCGAAAGTGGGATACCCGACTTATATAACTATGAAGATTTCGGTATTAAGCCCTGTTTTTACTATTACGGGGATTAGCAAACTCCGTCGCGGACTTGTTTTGTAGCGTAGGATTGTTGTGCTCCGTATATATCAATGTCATCCATAGTAGTTATGGGAGTTCTCTACTTGTCTTCTTCTACTTCATATATCATATTCAACTTTACGAATACCTTTCATCTTGTCTTTCCAATTGATTTAACGGATTCTGGAATAGGTCCATGACATCACTATTTGCGTAGGTGTAACACGGATTGTATTTCATATCTCGATATAACGTCGTCGACCTATTCAAGTACTTGGAGGAACGATTATATATTAAAGTTTAAACTATAAACTTTGAATAACACACAACCACCACGTACCTGGTATATCATTTTGTAATACAATCATCAGGCCACACTCAATTCGAGATTCCTCAGGCCCAGTTCCAGTCCCAGTCCCAGTCCCAGTCCCGCACTACCCACTTATCAACAACCCCTTCTCCACCTCTCCTCCGAAAATGTCCACCCAACCCGCCACCTCAACCCGAAAACCCCACATCCTCATTTCCGGCGCCAGCATCGCCGGTCCCGTTCTCGCCTACTGGCTCAACCGCGCCTCCATCACCACCACCATTATCGAACGATCTCCCGCTCTCCGTTCCGCCGGTCAAGGAGTCGATATTCGGGGTCCCGCTCGTACAGTCATATCACGCATGGGACTCGAATCTACCATCCGCTCAAAGGTAACCCATGAGCTGGGTCTTCAATTTGTGGATAAGAATGGTACTCCCCGAGCTACTTTTCCCGTGGCGGAAAATGGAAATTCCTTCACGAGTGATATTGAAATTATCCGCGGAGATTTGGCAGAGATTTTTTATAATAGTACAAAGGAAACGTGTGAGTATATTTGGGATGATCACGTTACGAAACTGGAAGAGATAGATGAGGGAGTTCTCGTTACGTTTGCGAAAGGGAAACAGAGGATCTTTGACCTGGTGGTGGGCGCAGATGGAATGCGTTCGAAAACTAGACGACTGGTTATTCCGCTTCCAAACGACGGGTTGAAATCGTTGTATCAATATACCTCATATTTCACCATCCCCAAACAACCCCATGATGATGCATGGGGTAAGTGGTATAATGCTTCTCGTGGACGCTTGATATTGATGCGTCCGGATAATATACATGAGAGTACGACTACACGCGTCTATCTCAGTATTACCGATCCTTCCAAAACGTGCAAGTTGGTCAAGTATCTTGAAATGTCACCCGAAGAACAAAAACGTGCGTGGAGAGAAGAAATGTCTGATATGGGATGGGAGATTGAGAGAATTGTAGAAGGAATGGATCAAGCACCAGATTACTATATGCAAGAAATCGCGCAGGTAAATCCTCCTCAATTCTACAAAGGGAAAGTGGCACTAGTAGGAGATGCGGGTTATTGTCCCTCCCCTATCTCGGGAATGGGCACTAGTGCGGCGATTCTAGGTGCGTATTATCTTGCGGGAGAACTGGGAGCTTGTCAGGGGAATTGGGAAGAGGGATTGAAAAATTATGAAGAGAGGATGAGACCGTTTGTGGAAGGCGTACAGAAACTTGCGCCAGGGGCTCCGGGGATTATGAATCCGCAGACGAACTGGGGAATTGCGATTTTGTATAGGATTTTGGGTTTGGCGTCTTGGACGGGGGTGGCGGGCTGGGTGTTGGGTTTACTTCCGAATGGTGATGAGAGCTTGGTGCAGTATGAGTGGAGCGATGGGGGTAGTGAATGCGCTTAGGTGGAGGTTGTCGATGGGTGGGGAATGATATGGAGATGTGTTGTAACTTGTGTTTAGCGAAAATGGGAAATCTCTACTTTTTATGTTATCGTTTCTAACACTTACTAATTTCCAATCTCTTATTGTGTTATATGCTTGAAATCGTCACGAACACCTATCCCCTCTTTTCATTCTACTCAACCATCTTTTGATTAATCTAAACAATATAAAAGAATGAATACCCTCCTGAGCTTGAAGTTTATCACAAACATATCCAAATCGACCCCCTACAAAAAAGAAATTGATATTTTGACCCCCGAGTCGCGTATCAGATTCACGTTGAGTCATTCTCCTCGTATAAACCTCAAGATCTAGGTCTAGTCTAGAAGATATGTTCCTCTTATTAATAATTTAGTTAGGGGGAGGAGATAGTTTTTATGAATTATTCATAGGGAAGTAGGGTATCGATTTTGTGTTTAGATATCTAGATAGGAGAGAACCGATTTCTCTCTCTAGGTTTTGTGTTATTGGTGGTGATCATGGGGGAGGTTGAGATGGGTTGTGGTGGATTTTATTGGGATGTTGGATGTAAAGATGGATGGATATATGATAGAGTGGGAATGATAGAGTGGGATGTTTGGGGAATAGTTGAATTGTGTGAGGCTAGGGGAGAGGGAGAGGGAGAGGGAGAGGGAGAGGGAGAGGGAGAGGGAGAGGGAGAGGGAGAGGGAGAGGGAGAGGGAGAGGGAGAGGGAGAGGTGATGCGTATAGATATTCTTGATGGGGAGTCAGTATATTTATATATACCCCTTAGCTCCATTCCAAATACACTTTTCCTATCGATTCCAATGCGTGTTAATGGAATCAGTCTTTCGTTGAGTATGTACTTTACTAGGATTGATAATTGGGGCGATGGAATGAAGGGGATGGAAGATAGTGGAAAGTTTGATGAGTATATCTTCGATGACACATCACGATTAATTAATATTTTCTGGAGTTGTTTCGATATTGAATTCATATCCATCAATCAGATATATTATCCATCTGCATTGAAACAAAATTTATTTTTATGAAATCGTAGCCTTGAGTTTGATTTCAGAATGATCTTGATAGTGATCTATAAGTCAACTACCCCACTTTCCGACCACCCCCTCTTTTCGACCACCTCAAAAACCACACCGCTTTGAGTAATTATAAAATTTATACTTTGAATAACTCAACAATGCTTTAATCAATTGATTTGAAATTTTGATATTATTATAATTGTGATATGAAGAATAGATATACCGAAGAAGATATCGCAGAGGCTCTTAGAGCGATTACAAATGGAGCAAGCATACGAAGAGCTAGCTTGGATTATGGTGTTCCACGTACCACACTTCACGATCGAATATATGGTGGAGTTTCGCATCAAAAAGGCGCCCAAATACTTCAAAAGTTATCTCCAATTCAGGAGAATCGACTAGCAGAATGGATATTAGTACAGGAAGCTCTTGGTACTAGCCCTACACATCGTCAAATCAGAGAGATGGCAGAGCACCTCCTTATTGTACGAGGGGAGGATCCCTCACTTGTAAAGAAATGGATACATAGCTTTTTTCGAAGGCATCCTAATATTGGAACTAAGAAGCAACATCAAATCGATTCTGCACGAGTTTCAGGTGCTACATCTGATATTATTAAGAAGTGGTTCCGGAACCTCGCAATCCCTGAAATCAAGGCTATTAAGCCGGCCAACAGATGGAATATGGATGAAGCAGGTATAATGGAGGGTCAGGGTCTTAATGGACTAGTAGTAGGAAGCACTGATCGAAGATTTATTCAAAAAAAGCAACCTGGATCTCGAATTTGGACCTCTTTTATAGAATGCATTTCAGCCAATGGAAAAAGCATTACTCCCCTTGTAATATATAAGGGAAAATCAGTTCAACAACAATGGTTTCCAACAGATTTGACTCTATTCAAGGGTTGGAACTTTACCGCTACAGAAAATGGATGGACTACAGATGCTACAGCTTTAGAATGGCTGAAAAAGATCTATATCCCTCAAACTACCCCTATTCAGCCGGAAAATTCAAGACTCCTCATTTTGGACGGACACGGAAGCCATGAAACTACAGCATTTATGTTAGAATGCTTTAATAACAACATATATCTCTTACTTCTCCCACCACATACGTCACACGTACTACAACCACTCGATTTATCTGTGTTCTCACCCCTAAAAAGTGCATATCGAATCGAACTTAATAAATTAAGTCTATTATCCGATTCCTCACCAATTGGAAAGCGCAATTTCCTTTCTTGCTATCAGAAGGCTAGAATAGAAGGTTTAACTATTCAAAATATCAAGTCTGGGTGGCAAGCTAGTGGTCTTTGGCCCAAAAATATGGCTAAACCTCTTATGAGTCGACTTTTGCTTGAAAATAGCAATAGAGAGGTTTTATCACTTAATCCTGAATCTGATGATGATCCTATTCTTCAATGGAATATATATTCATCGTTTATTCAATGGAAAACCCCTCAAAAAGGAGCCGATATCAGAAAATATAGAGATATAATGATTCAAGAGAAGGAGATCGATTTGCCAACACGAAGATTACTATTTCGCAAGATTATAAAAGGATTCGATGCTAAGGATTATGAACTCTTAGAGGCAGAGAATAAGATTAGAAAGCTAGAATATCAATTAGATGAAGCATTACCTAGAAAAAGGCGAAAGGTTGTGGTATCTCCAAATTCGAAGTTCGCAGGGATTAGAGCTATAAGGCGTACACAAATTGAAGCTGGAGATCGTGAAGATGAGGTAGATGATAGCTCTAGTGCTATAGAAAGTGATTCTACAGGCGATTTCATTGAAGTTCAATAGTTATTGAGTTATTAAAGTTTTAAGTGTAGATAATATGAATTTTTTAGGTGGTCGGAAACAGGGGGTGGTCGGAAAGTGGGGTAGTTGACTTAAATCTAATCATCTAGTCTGTATTGAATCGAACAAAAACTCTCTTTCGTCATTTCTGGCTCGCTTCGAGAACAAAGAGTCCTAGAAAAAGTATCTAATAGTCCGGCCTGCAGGTTAACAATTAGAAACTTTGAAACGTTCATTTCTTTTTGGACATTTAGATATCTTAGAGATTGAAATAGTTTTCAAACGAATTTGAGATAATGAACTCTCGAAATCATAGATGAATTTTCACTATCTTAAGATTACGAACTTTACATAGTCTCGAGAGACTATTAGAAAAACTGACTCTAACAAAGGAGATGTATGAATTATCATGAGATTAGTAGAGACTATTCGTTAAGAGCGCGTGTTGTACGGATTGTTTATTAGAGTACTTGTGGCTGAGATTGAGAGTGAGAATGTGAATGTAAATGTGTAGGGGGAAAGCCCTTATGATCTTCTCTCTTACATTTTTCTTTTGTAACTCTATGTATGTATGATTGTCTTGATTCGTGTGGTTGTTCTGATTGATATGAATACTTTAAATGATCTGATTGTTCCAGTTGATACGAATGTTCTAATTGATATGAATATGCTATCTAATATAATTTTCTCGGTCAATGTGATTATCCCAATTGATTTGAGCGTTTTTATGAAATTCTATAATAAGTATACTAAATCACTTATTAATGTCTTATTAATTGAGAGATATCTTGATGATCAATATATGTATAATATAATTTTAGATTATAAAATTATATTATTATAACGTAACTTATGGTGAACCAAATCATATAGGGAACTGGATCACAAAATTCAATTCTCTTTATATGATTTTATTCTACAAGCTATATATTCATTCAATTCTAATTTTAAATCATTTAAACTACTCTCTAACTTTTCTTCTTCAATCTTTTTTTCTAATTCTTCAATTAAACGTTTACATAATCGTCCTTATAGCTTTTTCTCCTTAGATTTTTCCTTCACTTTATATACTATTTTCAGTACTTTCTTATTATTAAAGACAAATTGACTTTGTGATTTAATTCTTTTATTTTTAATTCTTTTCTTTTGAGTTTTAATTACCTTCTAAATATTAGTAAACTATTTCTAAAGTAGAGCTATCTTAACATTTTGAGATTCTATAAGTTTGATTATTCTTTTGATATATTAATAAGTTAGTGATAACGTAACTTATAGTGAACCGGGTCATATGAGGAACCGAGTTACAAAATTCAATTCTCTTTATATGATCTTGTTCTACGAGCTATATATTTATCCAATTCCAACTCTAAATCATTTGAATTACTCTCTAGCTCTTCTTCTTTAATCTCCTTTTCTAATTCTTCAATTGGATGTTTATATAGTTGTCCTTGTGGCTTTTTCTTTTTAGATTTTTCCTTTACTTTATATATCATTTTCAGTACTTTCTTATTATTAAAGACAAATTGATCTTGTAATTTGACTCTTTTGCTTTTAATTCTCTTCTTTCAAGTTTCAATTATCTTCTAAATATTAACAAACTGTTTCCGAAATAGAGCTATCTCAGCATTTTGAGATTCTACAAGTTTAATCATTCTCTTGGCATATCAATAAATTAGTAATATAAAAGAATTATTATTTGCTAGAGCTTTATTAAAGGTTTGATTTGCTTACCTTAGCTCTATTCTATTTGGAAAAGAACTCTTAAGTATAAATAAGTCTAGATCTTGATTGAAGGTTCTCATTTGTAGAGTGAAAGATTGCTGGAAGGAGTTAAATGGTAATGAATTGAGTACTTTTTGTGGGACAAAAGGTATTAAATCAGCTCCTCTTTAGCTAGCTTTAATATTAGAAGAATTCAGTGCTTTTTTTCTAATATTTTAAAAGAGTTCTATTTATTCAGCTCTTTGGATTCGCTTTATACCAGCTCGAGAATATCGATCGATCTTTAAAGCATAATATCGTTTCATTGGCCTATACATTACAATATCAAATGATTGAAGTAAATGGGAATAATAAGGAGGTAATATAAGTAAATCGATATCCTTCTCTATATAGAAAGCAATAAAGCTGTTTGTAATATGACTTGAATAGCTAT